ATTGCAGCTGGGCATCAGTGGCTCATGCCTGTAATCCTAGTCAATCAGGAGGCTGAGATCTGAGGATGGATGTTCAAAGCCAGCCCGGGCAGGAACATTTGTGAAACTCTTTTATCTCCAATAAGCCACCAGAAAACCAGAAATGGCACTGTGGCTCAAGTGGTAGAACACTTGCTTGAGCTGAAGAGCTGAGGGATAGCATCCAGGCCCAGAGTTCAAGCCCCACAATTGACCACCACCACCAACAACAACAAAAGAGTGCAAAACGAGGCTGCAGGTGGCTGAAGTGTCCAGCAAGCAGCAAGGCTGTGAACACAATCCCCAGAGCCTCCCACCACACAAAAAAGGCCAACTCCATGTATACTTATAGTCTCAGCTACTTGAAAGGCTGAAGTTGGAGGATCACTTGAGCTCCAGAATTCAAGGCTATCCTGGGCAGCATAACGAGATCCTATCTCAAAAACAAAAAGGAACCAGGCACTGGTGGCTTATGCTTGTAATTCTAGTTACTCAGGAGGTTGAGATCTGAGGATTGTGGTTTGAAGCCAGCCCAGACAGGAAAGGAGATTCTTCCTTCTCCTTCTCTCCTCCTGATCCTGGGGCTTTAACTTAGAGCCTGGGCACCATCCCTAAGCTTCTTTTGTTCAAGGCTGGTGCTCTACCATTTGAACATGGACCTTTCTGTCTGTGATGGCTTGGAATTGAGAGCCTCAGATCTCAGCCTCCTGAACAACTAGGATTAAAGGCATGAGACACCAGCACCCAGGTCAGACAGTGATGTTTGACTCAGGTCTCAGAGAGAATCCCTATCACAGAAAGCTGGCTGGAACCTGCCCAGATTCTAAACCCAGCAGCACATATATGCTGAGTTGCTCAGCAGAATCTGAAGCCCCAGAGACTCAAAGGCTGAGTTTTCCCTGTGCTCTTAGTCTCTCATAATACAACCAATATGAACGACTATAACCTTTACAAATATTGAGAAGAAACTTATTTTTAATAAATTGGTAATTTGATAAATTAGCCATTCAGCAAATTGCTCATTTGGCCAATTGACTTCTGGCAAGCATATGTTTGGCAAATTAACTTACTGTAAATTAGTCTACTTCTAATTATCATACATAAGAATGCTCATGTTCCTAAGGTAATAATTGATCTGTCAAGGATATATATATATCCCTGGTTTTGCAATTTGTTGTTCTCAAACCTGAAGGAATTCATTTTGGATCTTCCCTGGCTACTCACTTACCACATCTAAGATCTATTAGTCTCTCTTCCCCTCCCTTTAGAGGAGTTTCACCAGAAACTGAATGGTTCATTTTTTAACTTCAGTTCTGCACTGAGCAAGTGCAACAGCTCCTCCTTGTGGACACTTATTATATATGCAGCCTCTATATTCAGAGTTACATCAAGACTATTTTGACATGGTAAGAAACAGACTAATTCAAAGAAATGTACTTTTTGCCTGACTTATGCAACTGTATCCCTATTGTACATTAACTTTCTAATAATAAAACATTTTAAAAAGCTGGGTGCTGGTGGCTCATGCCTGTAATCCTAGCTGTTCAGATGGCTGATATCTAAGGATTGAGGTTCAAAGCCATCCAGGGCAGGAAATTCTATGAGACTCTCATCTCCAATTAGTCACCAAAAAACCATAAGTAGAGCTGTGGCACAAAGTGGTAGAGCGCTAGCCTTGAACAAAAGAACTCAGGGACAGTGCCCAGGTTCTGAGTTCAAGCCCCACGACTGAAAAAAATAAAAGAGAAAGAAAAAGAGAAAAGACTAATTCAATCAATCAATAGACATTTTTCTTCTTCTTTTGTCTGTGCTGGGGCTTGAACTCTGGGCCTGGGCGCTGTCCCTAAGCTCTTCAGCTCAAGGCTAGCCTAGCACTTTACCACTTGAGCCACAATGCCACTCTGGTTTTCTGGTGGTTAATTGGAGATAAGAGTCTCACAAATGTTCCTGTCCAGGCTTTGAACCTAGATCCTCAGATCTCAGCCTCCTGACTAGCTAGGATTACACGCATGAGCCACCACACACGGCTTTCTTCTTATTTTTTTTTAAGACAAGGTCTTTCTATGTAGCTCAGGCTGGCCTTGAACTTATAGTCAGATAACTCAGCTTCATTGTCATCACGAGCTGACATCAAACCAAAGGGCAATGTGGAAGTTTCATGTTCCCACTGCTTCTGACACTATTAACTATTACTAAATAAACATAGAAAGATTCTAAACTGGCCAATATTGAAAGAAGCTGGGGCCAGTTCCAACTCTGGAGGAGTTCATCAACATAACTAAAGGTAACCCATTTTGTCACAATTTTTTTTTTTCCAGTCATGGGGCCTGAACTCTGGGCCTGGACGCTGTTCCTCAGCTCTTCAGCTCAAGGCTAGTGCTCTACCACTTGAGCCACAGTGCCACTTCCAGCTTTTTCTCCTTATGTGGTGCTGAGGAATTGAACCCAGGGCCTCATGCATACAAGGCAAACACTGAACCACCTTCCCAGCCCCTGTCACAAATCTTTTCAATAGCCTGGTCCTAGTGGTTCATGCCTGTAATCCTAGCTACTCAGGAAGGTAAGATGTGAGGACTGAGATTCAAAGCCAGCTCAGGCAGGAAAGTTTTATCTTTAAATAACCCCCAAAAGAGACTCAGAAGTGCCGAGCCCCCATGGATCACACCTGTAATCCTAGCTACTCAGGAGGCTGAGATATGAGGATCAAGGTTCATAGCTACCCAAAAAAGGCAGAAAAGTCTGTGGTACGCTTATCTCCAATAAACCATTCAGTAAAAAAAACAAAAAAACAAAAACTGGAAGTGGTGATGTGGCTCAAGTGGTAGATTGCTAGCTTTGAGCACAAAGATGCTCAGGGACAGCACCTGCGCCCTAAGTTCAAGTCACTGGACTGGCAAAAATGAAACAAAACAAATCCTAGAAGTAGAGCTGTGGCTCAAGCATGCACGCGCACGTGCACACACACACACACACACACACACACACAATTTATTCAATGAACTACTGAGCAGCCATTGTGTTCCAGACATTGGGCTGTTAAAGAAATGGAGTAATCCTTGTTCCTATACTGGAGTTGCTCAGAGGTTGGGAGGAGAGAGATATTCACTTATTCAGGAAAGTAATAATGCAGAGTGTGGAGTCCTCCCTGCCTCCATCCCAACACGGAAAGATGCCCTAATATATGCTTGGCACAGTGCTGAGGATGTAGGGATAAAGACCAGGACAGTTACCCAGGAATTTTGCACCATCTATGTAAAAGGCTTTTTGGAGGTTAATGCTGTCATTGAGGAACAACTTGCTGGAGGGGGCAGGGTGGTATCAAGGAAGGAGGCTGCCATCTGTTCCTGTTTTTTTGTTTTGTTTTCTACTGGGTCTAGGCTCTGACTCTGAGCTAAAGGCTAGTGCTCTACCAATTGAGCCACAGCTCTACTTCTTGCTTTTTGGTGGTTAACTGGAGAAAAGAGTCTTATAGACTTTCTTGCCTGGACTGGCTTTGAACCATGACTCTCAGATCTCAGCTTCCTGAGTAGCTAGGATTAAAGGAATCACTATGTGCTGAATATTTTTTTAAATTATGATTTATTTAATGACTTCTTCTTTTTGTTGATGTGGTGCTGAGGAATCAAACCCAGGATCTCATGCATGCTAGGCAAGCACTCTACCACTAAGCCACATTCCCAGCCTGTGCTGGTAATTTTTTTTTTTTTTGTCAGTGTAGGGCTTGAACTCTGGGCCTGGGCACTGTCCCTCAGCTCTTCAGTTCAAGGCTAGTGCTCTACCACTTAAGCCACAGCACTACTTCCAGTTTTCTAGTGGTTTATTGGAGATAAGAGTCTCATGGACTTTCCCGCCTGGGCTGGCTTTGAACCTCGATCCTTAGATCTGAGCCTCCTGAGTAGTTAGGATTATAGGCATGAGCCACTAATGCCTGGCTGAGCTGGTTATTTTTGAGGTAGCATCTTGCTTCTTGTCTGGGTATGAGCCTAAAGCATTATCTGCTTATTTTAGTCTTCCCTTTGTAGGTGGGATGACAGGTATGTACCCCCACCTTTCTTAGTCCCAAGTAGCTAGGATTACACATGTGAGCAACTAGTTGTCCTCTCTCCTCTCCTCTTCCTATTCCTCCTCCTCCTCCTTCTACTTTTTTTTTTCTTTTTGGTCAGTCGTGGGGCTTGAACTCTGGGCCTGGGTGCTGTCCCTGTGCTCTTTAAGTTCAAGGCTAGTGCTCTACCTTTTGAACCACACTGCCACTTCTGGTTTTCTGAGTGGTTTATTCGAGATAAGGGTCTTACAGACTTTTCCTGCCCAGGCTGGCTTTGAACCATAATCCTCAGATCTCAGCCTCCTGAGTAGGTAGGATTACAGGCGTGAGCCACCGGCACTTGGCCGCCTCCTTCTTCTTGCAGGTACTAGAGCTTGAACTCTGGGCCTCACACTTGCTTGGCTTGTTTCTTTAGCTGATAGTCTACCACTTGTACCATTCCTCCAACCTAGCTTTTTGTTGTTTTAAGGATGGAATTTTGAGGACTTTTTAATTTTTTTTTGGGGGGGTGTCTGGGCTGGCCTCAAAATTCAATCCTCTAAGATCTGAGTCTCCTGAGTAGATAGGATTACAGAAGTGAGCCACCAGCACCTGGCTTTTTTTTTTTTTTTTTGCCAATCCTAGGCACTGTCCCTGAACTTCTTTTGCTCAGGCTTTCTCTATTTTTTTTTTTTTGGTTGGTCGTGGGGCTTGAACTCTGGGCCTGGGTGCTGTCCCTCAGCTCTTCAGCTCAAGGCGAGCGCTCTACCACTTGAGCTACAGCGCCACTTCTGGTTTTTCTGGTGGTTTTACTGGAGATAGGAGTCTCACGGTCTCTCCTGCCCGGGCTGGCTTTGAACTGCGATCCTCAGATCTCAGCCTCCTGAGTAGCTAGGATTACAGGCGTGAGCCACCAGCGCCCGGCGCTTTCTCTTATTTTATGCCTCCGTTTCTACCATTCTTTCCCCAGAATGTCCTCCTCTGCATCTTTCTACCTTCCAAGCTCTTTCCATTCTCCAATGCTCAGTCCTCTTTCCTTGTCCCTTCCTATTGACTACAGAAAGGTTCTCTGAACCACCATAGGAAAAAGAAAGGAAATCACACCCTTTGAATGTCTGCTGTGTGCTGTGTTGAGAATGTAAGTCTTACAAGTCTCTCAGGCTGCTTTGAGTCTAGGTAGCTGTGTAGTCGTGAGAGATATACTTAACTCGCTGTGTTTTATTTTGAAAAACATAAAAACCACCATTCTTTCTTCACCATTCATTCACTCAAACATTATCAAACCTGGTATATGCTCCAGGCTTTGTACTCATGGTGGTTTTGAGAATGAAGCAAAATGATGTATGGAAAATGGCTTGCATCTCCGGCCCTCATTGTGTGAAATGTATTAATACTGTCATTATCCAGTTTAATTTCCTATCGGGAGGACATTCCTCAGAGTGGTTTTTTTTCCTTCTCTTTTTCCTCCTCCCCCTTCCTGTCCTGTCCCCTGCTCTGAGGGTTGAAGCCAGGCCTCACCAATGCTAGGAAAGTGCGCCACCCCAGTCCTAACAGATGACCTCTTCTACCATAAGAGGCTTGAACAAGAGGCAGCTTTTAATCCAGGCAGATTGTTTTATTTATGCCAGTAGCCAGTACTGTTGCTTGCATTCAGGACCTGGATGTTGTCCTTTAGCTTTTTTGCTCAAGGCTCCTGCTCTATCACTTAAGCCCTATCTCCACTTCATTTTTTTTTTTTTTCTGGTTAATTGGAGATAAGAGTCTCACAGATGTGTCTGCCTGGGCTGGCTTCGAACTATGATCCTCAGATCTCAGCCTTCTGAGTGTGTAGGATTATAGGTGTGAGCCACTGGCATCTGGCTAGATCCTAAGAAAAGTTAAAGCACCATCTGGCTGATTCAAAGCATGACTATGACTGTCATATCCTTAAAAAAAACTGCTGAGCGTCATGGGCTCAGCATCTTCCACACAGGATGTACAACAACTGGCTCTGTGATTGAAGGAAGACTCTGAGGCCTAATGTGCCTTCTGTCACCTGGAGGTGGCCTCCTTACCTTCATACTGAACTTCCAGATGCATCGTGCCCAGCACCTTCAGCACACAGTCCACGATGCTGGGGTGTGTCGTTCCAATGATTTCCTGGTGAGATAAACAAGAAGACAAGGTGGTTGTCCTTTAAACCTTGTACTCCTGGAATGAAACACCACTTCCAAATCATCAGGTGCTATGGTGAGGGATGGAGGGAAGAACCAAACCAAACAAGCCCCAAAGAGTGACAGGGGAGCTTCCCAGGTTTCTACTGAAGCATCCCAGGTCTGTACTGAAGTACTAAGCTGAAGCTACCTGGTTAATGCAGGAACCAGGTTTGCAGAAGCAAGAATCAGTCACTTCTTCTCTTAGGAGCCTCACCCATCAGCTAACCCCTCTTTTCTACCTCTTCCTAATTTACTTACACTCAGCTCATGGGCTCCTGTGAAGGCTTAGAGGCTTGGGGAGTTTCAAAGGAAAAGGTATCACTACTACTGGGCACCAGTGGCTCATGCTGGTAATCCTACTCAGTAGACTGAAGTTTGAGGATCCAAGTTCAAAGTCAGCCTGGGCAGACAAATCTAGGAGACTCTTATTTCCAACTAACAAGCAAAAAGCCAGAAGTGGTAGAGCAGCAACCTTAAGTAAAAAGTTAAACCTTGAGGGGCTGGAAAGATGGCTCAGTGGTAGAGTGCTAGCCTTGCATGCATGAGGCCCTGGGTTCGATTCCTCAGCACCACATAAGCAGAAAAAGCCAGAAGTGGCACTGTGGCTCAAGTGGTAGAGTGCTAGCCTTGAGCTGAAGAGCTGAGGGACAGCGCCCAGGCCCAGAGCTCAGGCCCCATGACTGGCAAAAACAAAAACAAAAAAAAAAACAAGTTAAACCTTGAGCGTGAGTCCTAGTATAGGTGCACAAGCGCATGCACACGCATGTGCGCACACACACATACACATACACACTCACATACACAAAGAAAAGAAAAAATCATTAGCTCTCTGTACATCATCTTTATAATGACAATAAAAAAGTGAAACAAGGGACTGGGAAGGTGGTTCAGTGGTAGAGTGCTTGCCTTGCCTGCATGAGGCCCTGGGTTCAACTCCTCAGCACCACCTAAGCAGAAAAAGCTGGAAGGGGCACTGTGACTGAAATGGTAGAGTGCTAGCCTTGAGCTGAAGAGCTGAGGGACAGTGCCCAGGCCCAGAGTTCAGGCCCCATGACCGGCAAAAAATAAGTAAATAAAGCTGGGCATTGGTGGCTCACGCCTGTAATCCTAGCTACTCAGGAGGCTGACATCTGAGGCTCTCGGTTCAAAGCCAGCCAGGGCAGGAAAATCTGTGAGACTCTTATTTCCACCAAACTACTCAGAAAACTGAAAGTGGTGCTGTGGCTCAAGTGGTAAAGTGTTAGCCTTGAGCTGAAGAGCACAGGGACAGCGCCCAGGCCCAGTTCAAGCCCCACAAACTGACAAAATAAAAATTAAAAAAAAATAAATACAGGGTATTTCCTTTAAAAAATCATTAGTAAGAGTCACAGAGAGCTGTCTATGAGAGGAAGATTCTAGATTCACAAAATAAAACAAAAAAAATTTCTGTTTTTGGATCTAGCTTGGCTGCTTTTCAGATGGGCACTTGGTAACCATCAAGGTCTATCAAGTTAGTAAGCAAACCCTAACTCCTTCCAAGTCAAGGTGAGTTTTCCCTGCCCCTCCCCCTTTTTTTCTTGTCAGTTGTGGGGCTTGAAGTGAAGGCCTGGGTGCTGTCTCTGAGCCTCTTTGTGCTCAATGCTAGTGGCTCTACCACTTGAGCCACAGTGCTACTTCTGGTTTTTCATTTTTTATTTAAAAATTTTTGTTTATATGGTATCACGAATCGAATCCAGGGCCTCATGCATGCTAGGCAAACACTCTACCCTAAGCCACATTCCAATTTTTCTTTTTCTTTCTTTCTTTCTTTTTTTTTGTTGGTCATGGGGCCTAGTGATTTATTGGAGATAAGAGTCTCATGGACTTTGCTGCTCAGGCTGGCTTTGAATGGTGATCCTCAGATCTCAGCCTCCTGAGTAGCTAAGATTACAGGCGTGAGCCACCGGCACCTGGCTTTCATCACTTTTGAGTTTAGTGGCACTAAGCATATTCACAAGTTGCTGTACAACCTATGCCTACTAATGGCTCCACTGTTTTTTCCTTTTTTTTTTTTTTTTGGTCATGGGGCTTGAACTCAGGGACTGGGCACTGAATCTGAGCTTCTTTTGCTCAAGGTTAGCACTCTACTACTTGAGCCACAGTTGCCACTACTGGCTTTTTGTGTTTCTGTGGTACTGAGGAATTGAACCCAGGGCTTCATTCATGTTAGGTAAGCACTTTACCACTAAGCCACATTCCCAGCCCCTCCACATTTTCTCTTTTGGTCATCCTTCCTCCTAGAGATCACCTATTCTATTCTATCTATTCTATTCTATTCATTTGTGTGTGTGTGTGGGGGGGGGTGCTCAGAACCTTATTTGTCTGTTTGTTTCTTCAAGGCTGGGACTCTACCACTTGAGCCACAGCTCCATCTTCTGGCTTTTTTTTTCTGGTTAATTGGAGATAAGAGTCTCATGGACTTTTCTGTCTGGGCTGGGTTTGAACCATGATACTCTCAGATTTCAGGCTCCTGAATAGCTAGGATTACAGGTGTAAGCTCCTTCTCCATTCATATAAAGAAGGAAACAGCCTCAGACAAGTCAAAGTCAAGTCTTTCCTACTACGAATTACTCTCTTCATTTCACAGGAAGGAAACAGAGGCCAGAGATGTCAAATAGCTTCCCAGGCTGACTTGGCTCAGAATCCTGCCCTCCCCAGATAGTCAGATCAAAGCCACTAAACATCCTTAAGCCTGAGGTCTTCCCATGGCCACCACACATGTCCCAAATATGACTTCATTCAATAGCTAGGACAGAAGCCAAGGAGGAAAAAAGGAAGCAGTTCTAGTTTCACAAGTGGTGATTTGGCTTGTCGCTTACACACTGTCTACACATGCACCCTGGCTCTTTCCCTTTAATCTTTTCTGCAGACTTCTCACTATCCTTGTTGCTTGTCACAATCACTTTGAAGTCTGCCTTAAGTAAACAGGACAAATCACTCTGCTGGGAGGCATGAACCCTGTGACCCACCTGGGCCTTCTAGAAGAGACACTGACTGCGGCATGAAGGGCAGACATGCTGGGGGAGGCTGAGCGAAGGTAATTATAAGACTGGTGCGGCTGAATCAGGACCCCAGGAGCACACAGCCTTGGCTCACCTGGGCGGTCCTGAGGGTCTGCAGGGACAGCTGCTGAGCTTTGGGAGACACGCAGGGCAGCAAAGCTATTAGACCTTTATATACTTGATTCTGGTACTTGGGGTTTCCATGTAGCAAAGAATCCAACAGAACCTGCACTTCCTCCTGGGTTTCTTCTGACTTAGACTTTGCAAGAAATTCTGCTATGGATCGTACACCTGGGAAAAAAAGAGAAAATGTTAAGTTGGATGTGATTTATGAAAACCACCTCCACTGAAGATTACATGATAGAGAGCTGAGTGCCAGTGGCTCATGCTTGTAATCTAGCTACTTAGGAGGCTGAGATCAGAGGTTCAAGGGTTGAAGCCAGCCCCAGCAGACAAATCCAAGAGTTTTTTTTTTTTTTTTCTCGGTCGTGGGGCTTGAACACTGGGCCTGGGTGCTGTCCCTCAGTTCTTCAGCTCAAGGCTAGCACCCTACCACTTGAGCCACAGCACCATTCCAGTTTTCTGAATGACTTATCAGAGATAAGAGTCTCATGGACTTTCCTGCCCAGGCTGGCTTTGAACTGAGATCCTCAGATCTCAGCCTCCTGAGAAGCTAGGATTACAGGCGTGAGCCATCAGTGCCCAGCTTAAAACATACATCAAAAAAAAATTGGGGCTGGGAAGGTGGCTCAGTGGTAGAGTGCTTGCCTTGCATGCATGAGACCCTGGGTTCGATTCCTCAGCACCACATAA